GTCCCAACTCACACAGAATCCAACACCATCTCCCTGGGCCTTTCATCCCATGTCTCACAAAATTCCACAAGAAGTTCCTCAGGTACTGTACCAAACCTGCCCAAACCTCACAAAACCTGCTGTTGGAATATGGCAGGTTTTGGGTAGTTAGGGTTAAAGTTTTTTTCTCTCCAATAATATCTCAGTTCCAGCAAATCACAATTACTCCAGAGTGTGTCCGTGTTTACAGTTAATGCACTCACCGACTGTCAAATTACGGTTATCAAGTGGTTTTAACAAAGCATCCTGTCATACATGTACATGTAGCACTTGCATTTCAGATTGTGATAACTGTGACACATTAACTTCCATCTACCTGTAGGTTCGGCGTGGGCTCCTGGACAAAGATCGGTTCCTGTATCTGTCCCGATAGGACCGGCGCCTGTTGCGATCCCTCGAACGCGAGCGGTAGCTCCGGTATGGCGACCTGGAGTAGGAACGTCTGTTGTGTCGGTCCCGGGAGCGCGATCGAGAGCGGTAACTGCGACGGGGGGACCTGGAGTAGGAGCTACTGCGTGAGTGCGTCCGGCGGCGGCTGTAGGAATGCGACCTGGAACGGGAGCGGTCAGACCAGGAGGGAGAGCGGGACCTGGAGCGGGAACGCCGTGACCGCTTGTGCTTGGACCTCTGAAGAAAGCAAGTGAAGGAACATTGCAAACATCAAGAGTCTTAAGGGGTTAGACTTACGTGGTGGTTAAAAAATGAGTGCTTCTGCCAAAATTTGCCAGCTGCCAAATTTTACTGCTGCTAAAGCCTTTGCTACTGAAATAGCATAATCCAACAATCCTACAAATCAACTCATTGGAACCAACAGCATACGCAAAGTAATACCGGGTATGTTTAACCCTAACGCCCTCTGCCTTTGTTTTCTGGAAGGCTGACTCAACTCATATTTGTCCAACACCCTTTTACTGCTGGGTGGGGTATATGTACTCAACCCGCCAGATTCCAACAGTCCACTTGCTGTATCAGTACTCGGTCCAACAAACTCAAACAGGCAGTAAACTGTCGGGTTTTGGCTGAGTGAGGATACTTGGTCATTTACTACACAGTATATACATGTATAAGGAACGGGAACACAATGTACTAAGCCTGTTTGATATTCATTACTTTTCATATCTCAGTATCATGAAAAAATATTGCAATATCGAATATTATCATGATGACGTCATTTTCCATTCATAAAATAAACAAGACCGAAATCATAACCATGTCTCGAGAGCCACATAAAAAAACCCAAAAAAACCCCCCCCGATACGAACAGGCCTTTGTATTATCTCTACATTTAGAACCCTTATATGTTGGTGGAAAGCAAATTTCAACATGGACATTGTGGACATTAAATTATCATATATCATGTCATGGCACCGTATGGAAAAGCCATTTCCCTGCACACATTAGCCGTAAAGTCCGCTCAAGAAGGCAACCCCAAAACGGACAGAGCACATGTGTGTTACTAGAGGAGCTACTGGTATTGACGCCCTCACCTCATTTCTAAGTCATCATTTATTTCTCATAAGTCGCCATGTTTCGCTCAGTCCCTTTTTACAAGACCACAAAAAATCCTTTGTGTAAGTCTGCAATAAACATATCGTGCTTCGGTATCGGTTTCCTTCAACGCGGTTGCCTAAAAGCGCCAAGCGACAATCCCCACACTGCCCAACTGATGCATGCACGTGGTTGAGGACATCAATACCAGGGACCCCTCTCGTGCTACACGCATGTGCTCTGACCATTTTGGGGGTCACCTTATTGAACAAACTTAAGATGTACATGTAGGCCGTTTTCCAATACTCGGCTTCGTCTCCATTCAGGCTTCAACTGTTTTATTTACTACCTGACTTTTGAAGTTGTAAGCGCAATAGCAAGTTTGATTGTGGCACAAAACATCAAGTAGGATGCAAAAGAGCCAAACATTACATTTATTCACTGAAATTGAAACGCTTCAGACCCGTAATCAGGAATTGGTTTCGGAGACGAAGCCTGAGACGGAGACGAAGTCGAGTATTGGAAAACGGTCGTGTGCGTGTGCGGCGCACGGGCGTGGTATGACATTGACAGTACAGTCTGTTGGTTTGGTTCTGCCCCCTAATACTTTAAAGACCCTTGCAGCTGTTCGAGGCCAACAGTGACTTTGTGGTTTGAGGTTTTCAGTGACATTGACTTCCCTACATGCATGTACAGTACATCGTTTGGAGCTTATCGCGATAATTTTTGGCATATCGATTTGAACAATATTCCGATATGTGTTTTTTACGAACGACATAATATCTGATATCAACATCAAATCGAAACATCGTTAAATATTGTCATATCGAACAATGTACATATACTCATCCCTTCAAGATGAAACCACTGCAGGGCTACATGTATACATAATTGTATTTGTTTTGTAGGGCTCAGATTTGTTTTACCTTTGACTTCTCTTAAAAAAGCAAGGAGCAAACACACTGGAGCAATTAATTCTACTCCTTAAGTACAGGTACATGACCAAATGACCCCCATTGTTTACAGGCACAAACATTCCAGAGTTACTATTCATCAAACACCCTGCATTAAGTCCTGGGCAATACCAACCACCCCCACTTGGTCAAAATCCAACATTGTTACTGCATGTTACTGTTACTTTACTACTCCGTGTGACTTTGAGCCAAAGTAGGGAGTTTTAATGGGGTCGAAAGGCTGAGGGATTTTTGAATCACACTTTTGAGGGACATGATTGGGCAACATAAAGTCCACTTTTTCACTCAAAATTTTCCTGTGAGAGCAACCTTGAGGTATCTGTGGCTCTTGAATAGGGTGTAACTCAGTGTTTCAGAGCATGACACCGAGTATTTTTTTGAAAAATCTGAGATTTTTACAAACAAATCTCTCGTTTCTACCCAACATTGTTCATGCTGTTTGTATTTATCACATTGCGCATGTATCAGGCCAGCCAACGGTCAAGCTTGCTCTGCATCTCGGTTTGACCGTTTTCGGAAGGGAGGGGAGATTTCTAAGATCTTGCAATCTGTCACAGCTACACGGCGTAGTGTGCATTAAGTATTCATGAGCTACAAGTCACAAAGTAAAGACGGTCGCACATTGAAAACAAGATGCTGCACTATCTACATACTGTGGCCATTTACACCATGCATCACACACTGTACATATGCACCGTCACAAAACATCTGATAAAAGCTCAACCATTCTAAAAGCAAAGGAGTACGGCAGGGCACGCTATACACTCCACTGTGGGGCTGCTTACACACTTGTAAATGGTTGAGCCGACACTGGATGCTAGTGACTTTGTGCATGTGCAGTGCCTTGACTTCCGATGCATGAAGTATTGCCTTTGTAATAATAGGCATTATTTTCAAAACGGCGACAACCACTGTCAGATTTAGGATGTTCATATGAAAGTGTAAACTTTGAGGAATGCAACGGTGTAAGTAAAATTGTCAAGTCATTCTCCTTTCAGAAGATATTAGCATGCCTCAAATTAGGCCGTCAGTGCCCTCCCATTTGGCTGTGGTGCCTCCCAAAAGTGATCGTGTTTCACTGCCAGTGCCCTTTTTTTCTCTAGGCCATAGTGCCCTACACATGCATATCGACTGCCCCTGTCCAGCAAGGTACACAGAGAGCGGTATGGAAAACAGCATACACATCGTTCCATGATTGCTCACATTCGACCCGAACATCGCGCCCGCCGCACATGTATTCACTTGCACAAATCGCCCCATAATTCTTTGCGTGCTGTCACAGTGGTGAAAACATGTGCACGAAACTCCATGCATTAAACGAAGCTGCTCTGGTTCCCGCCGCGCCGCGCCCATGCAAAAGAATGCGTCACACAAATGTGGCAACCAGTACCAGTCTGTATTGTACATGTACTACATGTACATAAACACTCTTCATCAGCCATACGCATTGCGAATGCAAAAGGCTGCAGGCCGGAAAGACATCGCTGTTATGTTGCAGCATGGTTGCAGGTTTTCTGCAAGTTAATTCACAGAACTTGGTCTCTTATTTATGTATGTATTTGCTTCGTTCATGAGAAATTTAAGGTTGTTTTGCTCATTTTAGCACCCGCTGGTCTAGATGAATCATGCCCACTTACATGTACCACGTGATAGCCTACACATTACCAGTTAACTGCATTAGGACCTACACGGATATTGTTGGCCGGTTGCCATCGTGATTGCCGTCCTGATTGTGTGAATTTTTCATAATTTTCTTGTGTATTGCCGTATGTAGAAATTTTTCCATAGATTAAGACAGGTGTTCATCACTTTTTGAGATACGTTTGGAAGCTTTCCTCCCCACTGATGCCATTCAATCAGCACAAAAATGCCCCCAAACAAAAAAAAAATCTGACCTACTGACCCAATTTTTGAGAGGCATATCGAATGCACAGCACAACTACATGTAGGCCTATTACATGTATGTTTTTGGCCTAATAAAATGCTGCATATATGCAGTAGGCCTTAGTTAAATCCTGGAGGTAGGAGAAAAAGCAAATTTACGCCATAGCCTGCCCAATGGGCAAACTAAAAAAAAAAAAACAAACCAAAAAACAAATTGTCATGGCCTGCTCCCGAACAAGGACTGCTCAATGCGGCTGCGTGTGCGGTTCTGGTAGGATCAGGAAAAAGGTATATTTCGAGACCTGACACTGCATGTTACAATTCTTGCTTTTATACAGTAAAATCTCAATACCTCGAATCTCTGGGGAATGGACAAAAAATTTGAGTTAACACAAATTCGAGTTCAAAGAAGGTCCCAATTTCTTTTGAAGTCAAGTCATTATTACGACGTGTATCATAACATGTACCTATACAATGACACACAGTTACCGTAAATCTCCCTACGATGACTTTTGAAATGACATCGTGGTTATTTTATACTTTGGTGCCACAAGTTTTTGTTCATAGAAAGACAATTTTGCTGAGGATTTTTGTTGTCAATCGACTGATAAATAATACATTACATGTAGTGTAAGTCATTTAAACTGTGTACCTTTGCGTGGCGAATCTTTCTTTTGCTTTGTGCATGTGTGATGCATTGTGGTGGTCCCATTTCTGATACCGCGCACCGCAACGCAGCGCCTTGCACATGCGTACTCGGGCGGGGTTTCCCGATGAGTCAGACGACTTTTTTCATCATATGAGGGAGCACCTTTTTGTGCTTCAATAAAATTTTGTAAAAACAAAAATGCCATTGGTGTCTGTTTTTATTTTTTGTTCTTCGTTCTTCATTTTCAAACTTCTGTTTATTTTTGGGAGTGAGATTTGGCTGTGCCAAAGCTCTGCGTTGCAGTCACGTGGTTGGTCCACTGCGCATGAGCATGCTGTGGCTTATTGCTTTAATTGGGCAGCCATCGCACGGGCGAGCGCAAGCAGTTGGGCCAGACCGTAGGTGTGGCATGTGCAGCAGACACAAAAGATCTCCAATGCATTGCTGCAGCCACTGCAAAGAGCCATCAGTTGGCCTGCCAACACACTGGCTACAATGGGCCTACGGTAACAATTGGGCAAATTCCTTTAAGTTGGATTTTGCGGTCACAGTGTGATTTACGTGTTTAGATTGATCACCATTGTAGTGCGCTTGCAAGTGTTAAGGTGCGAAAAGACGAAGTGTGCATGTCAGAAATGATTCATAACTAGACCCGTGTTCTGTTTACACTTTCTGGAAGTACAGTCGACTCGTTAATACGAGGGCCTTGGGGCTTTCTTAATTAGCTCGTATTATCTGGACCTCGTCTTAAACAAAAGCTGCTGTTCCACTTGTTGCATGAGTAACCGATCGCCTGCATCGTTAAGCGTGCATCATGTACAACTTCCTGTACATACATGTAGGCCTACGTGTACTTTGTATGCACGTACGTGTGGTTTGGAATTTAATTTCAAAACAGTTTATGTTCATGAAAGTAAGGAGTAACTGTACTTTTTATGAATGAAGACTTGAAATGAAGAACAATAACATAATACAAGAACTTAAACTAAGAGCCCATTGGTACATGTACATGTAGTATCTTATCGCTCAGTCCGTTTATTACATATGTTTTGACATGGAACAGCCGTCGAGACGATGAGGGGTCAAGTGACGTAATGCTCAACGACCTTATTTTAAAGATGGCGACTGAGAGAGCAAGTCTGTTAGATTGAATGGATAAAGGCAAAAAGACTGGAAAATACCTGAATAACGTGAGTGAAATCTAAGATGGAAAGCTTGCGGTAAACACCATGCAATATCTCTTTTTGAGTCTGTGTGGTTCTGATAAGAACCGGAGAGGCTCAACGTTTCAGACAGTGTGCTCTGTCCGTCGTCAGGAGACAGAGCACACTGTCCGAAATG